AGATGTGATGATTCTGAAGAATCAGAGGCCTGAGATATCCTACCTGCTGGAGTATGATCTAGTTACCAGATGACAGGCTACTCTAAGGCAGGTCTTTTCCTCCTTCTCTTTTATTACGGCTGTATTTCATATGAACATTTGCATAGAATATTTAAACAGTTACAATGCAATAACTTGACCCCTTATGTAATGTAGCAGGTGAAATACCAGGTAGTCAGACCCTGTTCCTGTGGAATAAGTGTCTATATATTTGAAAATTGGACTATCAGCAAGGTAATCTTTGGGAGAAGGAAGAAGCTAGCTTGAATGCTCTGCTGCAAGTGCAGCTTGAAGCTACCTCTCTTGCAACATGAGCATATACTGCAACCATAGGAGCTGTAAGACCACTATCTGGGCTAGCAATATGAGGGGCTTTTTATTGCTTAGTTGTCACCATTTGCCCAAAACCTAAATTTTATGACTGAGACAATTAAAACGGGTATTTTTTTTTCTTATCAGTGTACTGTTATGTTAAACTTCCATTATCTGAGAAGATAAGGAAAAAAGTGAAGTACCAAACAAAATATCATCATGATACCAGGAGCTGGCTCTGAGCAGAGGCAAGCTCAGGAGGAGCATTCCCACTGGATGGACCTGTGCAGGGAGAGCACAAACACAGCTGCTGAAGTGTCCAAACAGGCAATGAAGCTGAAGGCTGCATATGGCAAATGAGGGCAGTGTACCACACCTAAGTCTGGCATAATGACTTCCAGGCCCATACAGGGAGGGATAAAGAAAGGATTGGCAGTTACCTGGTGAAAACAGAGCTCAACTAAAGTGGTTTTGCAGATCTAGTCCATAGCTGGCAAGGCCAGGGAAGGTTTGTTTAGTTCTGCATAATCCTTAGCTCAAAAATGTCTCAGTAAGCCCCAGTGCTGCAGAAGTGTTTCCACATCCATTATGACATGTTGGCACAAGTGTAGAGCACTTGAAGGAGAGAAGCTAGCACACCTATCTATTCAATCAAAATGGAACTGAAAGAGACAGGGCTGGTGTTTCAACACCTTTAGGAGAAAAATGTGTCACTGAGTGACATCAGAGAAGAAATGCTATTGTTCAGTAAAACAGATCTTCAAACTTGCAATTGGAAGAAGCCCATGTTAACCATAGGCAGAGTAGCCTCTGGTGGGTAGAACTCACCACTATACTTCAGCACCTCTGTATGATGGCATATTTGAAGAATCCAGTTCCTTACTGGGACATCCATAAGCAAGAGGAAGTGGAAAGCCAGTTTCCTTCTGAAGTGTTTATCTGAGGAGCACAGAACACAAATGAGTGATTTAGTGAGAGACGGGAATCATCTTCCTCTCCTTGTGGGCCCCTTTTTGTAATTGTTAGAGCCAGGCTTCTCTCTGAAGGCTCCAAATACTGTTGTGTCTTTTTCTCTAGATTCAGATAATATTTGCCAACCAAATATTCCATTGAGCCAATTGAGATTGATGAGATTTCTGACTCTTGTCAGAAAGAGATATAGCTGCTATACTTGGTGTACAGAAATTGCAGGGTCTTACCTTGATAAGCAAAGATAGTGCAGACTGCTGGAGAAAAAACCTATTTCTGTAGCTCATTGGCCCCAAGGCACTTCATTAATAAATGCAGTTTTGAATTTCACTTGTTTTGCATTCAGAACAGATGACCTGGCAAGGCCTAAAGATGTTTAACTAGGCCCTACAACATTTGCACTAGCCTAATGATTAGCACAAAGCCACTTGACTATTTTGAGTCCTTTCAGTGTCTGAGAAGGATTTTCTTCTTCTCTCCCTGCAACTCAACAGAACCAGTGTCCAGTGTCCCACCCCATAGTCCATGTTTGGAATGTCTGCTGGAGAGCTGGAGTTTGATCTAATATCTGCTTCTCTCAGATGGGTCAGTTTGTTGGGTTGAATGATTTCTAACCAAATACGAGCATAGACCATTCCAGAGAAACACCAGTGAGTATGATGTAAATGCAAAGCATTTAATACACACTTCATTCAAGTATGGGTACAACCCATTACTGCACGTGGTTACATTTAATTCTCCTCCCTGAGAAGAGTGAGGTAAAGTGGACTAGAAGCCAATGTTCTCAGAAGAGATTCATCAAGGTCTTAAATACACCAGGGAACCACCTGCACTGTCGAGCTTTATTAAAGCAAGTGCTAGTAAGGTGGCTGAACTGAATTCTCAAGAAGCAGAATACCTACAAATTACCTTGCAGCTTTGTGACATGTTCTCAGAATATTAGAGCTATTATAGATCAAAGCTATTTTAACAAAATGTGCGCTTAAAGCAGAGCTGCTTTGGGGATAATTGTGCCAATACAGTAAGTGTCTGATTACATGCTTAATGGCCAGATAGAGGTATTATTTTAATATTAAAAAGTATATTTGTCTTGCTCTTATATTTTTGCTGCAAATGGAATTGCTCAACTTTGCCCTACACTGCTGAAGCTGGAGCAAAGCTACCTCCTTTTGCTTGAACAAAAGGTAAATACTTCTGAAGTGAGATGATCAGATTTTTGTTCACTGTCACTGAGAAATTTCAGATGACCATGCTCTGTTACATGTTACAAATGTTCATATCACATGATCATGTTACACAGTGCTAAGTGGACATGAGTTTCTTACAATGCTTACAGTTCAATGAAGTTGTCATCCCTTTTCCTACTACAGAAGCTTCAGATATCTCCAGGACGTGAAATAAGGAATTTTAAGTATTTTTACTTTACCATAAAACTTTTCTGCCACCAAGTCATTAAGAAGCAAACAATTCTGAAAGCTGGGATGACAGCTACACAGCAGTAAAAACAGTGAACACATGAAAAATTATTACACAAGGCAAACATAAAAAGATTTGTTTAGAACTAATATAAGGCACACGCATACACAAAAGAGATAAATCATGCAGTTTTCAAAGGAAGTTTAGTTGAATATGCCTTTGAGATGTATGTCAATCATTTCTTGTGCAATCTGGGCTATGAGCTTACATGGGGAATTACAGTTCAGCCTCATTTCCTAGATGGCTACAGATACAATACTAAAAAAAGCATTGCCTCCTTAGTGCTGCCATTTAATCTATTGAATATTATTGTTCTCTTAACATTTGGCTACTATCCCAGGAAAAGCACAATGATAAGGGAAACATTTGCAAAATAAAGGAGAAGCCTTGGAGAAGTTAATTCAAACAAACTAAACTGGATTATCTTCTGCAGGAATCTTAGAAAATCCCCTGGCATAATTTCAAGTTACTTCAACAACTAGGAACAAGTTGATGGTTTTGCTCTAGATTTGACAGAAGTGTGGAAAATAAAGCCATTGCTAGTTCTTAAATTAGCTGTCTGGACAACAATGGCAATGAAAACACAACCCTTAAAAGCATTAGCAGATTGCCTGTACACAAGGCAATTGCATGGGCAGAATCCCTGGGCACCTTGTGCTCAGTTTATCGCCTCACAGTAAAACCCAGACTGACAGATCTTTCCTCTGCTGTTTTCCCTACTGCACTCATGCCTGCCAGTTCCTATCTGAACATAGTCCAGATCTCCTCAGTGTTGCTACTTTTAGTTACTTCCTTTTGGATGAAAAAAAAAATAAATTGAAAAAATGATCCATGGTTTTCAACTGTGCCCTTATAGGCTTGCAAAGATGTGCACTCCAAAACTGCAGAGACATCCTCACCTGTTAAACTGACAACTCCAGAGAAAAAATACCAGACTTCTGTCTAATGGAAAAGACTTGAGGTAAAATGACATTACTCTATATAATTTTCTCCTGTAGCTGTTCCCAGAGAAGACAGAATGAAGTATTTGATACTTTCTGCAAATAAAGAATGAAAAGGAGAAAAATAATTCCTTGCTCTTTTTGAGGTCACCTGTCTCATCACAAATTCCATTTAAACAGGCTAGAAGAACCCTGGTGTAACAATCAGGGAGAAATGGAACCTTCAATCAGCTCCTTTTCAATCAAATATTTTAATTCAGAAGCAGAAGGCTGCAGTACAGGAAGGTATATGGAGATTCATTCTGCTCCTGTGTATCAGATAATGAATTCATAAGGGTGCTACATCTGCCTTATGCAGGGGAGAGAGAGAGTGCCATAACTGCAGAGGACTCTGCCAGTGTACCAAGTAGCAAATTTCTATGAGTGTCCACAGATTTCCATCAATCTGTATATGCAGACTTCCTCTGAGCACAGCTTCTGACACTCAGATCAAAAATAATGGTCAAGAGGGGTAAATGAGACCACTTACATTTATTTTCATCAGCAACAAGTCGTTTTAAATTACCACACTGGCACTGGCATGCTATGAAAATCTCTGAGTCAAACAGAAAGTAACAGGAAGGAATCAGTAAATTGTGGGAGTCTTTAAAGTAAAAAAGTGGACAAGTTTAGCAAGAAGGTCCATGAAGCTTGACTCGAAGGACAATTCTCCACCCAGCTGCTCTTGGTAAAAACAAATCCATTGTCAAAAGTTAACTTAGGCTACTTGGCTACCCCTTATAGTAAGAACAAGGCTTTTAGACATTGTTAGAATAACCAGACAAAGTAGAAAACCTACAAACTGAAGAAAACCTGTCAAAAAACCTGTCAAAAAACCACCTTACTACTTCAGTTGGCCTATACTAATAAGCATTTAGAGAAATCAGTCAATCTTAATTGGAAAAAGCATGGCAGACTATTTAATCTCATGACTGACATTCTTAGAACTCAAAGAACAGAAAAAAAAAAATCCCAACAGAAGAGGTTGGTCTCTATAAGGAGCCAAATTATAATGCAACCAAATGAAAGTACAAAACCATTGCGTAGCCTCTTCTATTATCATCCTAGTTCACTGGCCTTGTCTGAAGATCTAATTGTTGGATAATCTTTCAAGTCCAGCTCTAAAGGTATTGATGAAGATTCAATGTCTGGAAAGCAGGATCCTAAATTTGGGATTTAAACATACCAAAAGGAGTAAAGCAGCAGAGCATGGATCTTCAATACCTGTAGCTTCTCAGAAGCTCCTCTAGTCTTGTTGACATTGATATGGATGAACGGTAATGTTGAGTAATGACAAGCTGGAGTCACATATTCAAAGCTATTAAGGTCAAACATCTGCTCAATGTAGATCACAACACATTCCTTGTTGGTTGGTATTGATTGCACTGAAAATGTGGAACAGGGGGAGGAAAAGAAAGTAATATTGAATTCAAAGGTACTGACAGCCAAAGAATGAAGAAAAAACAGATTCATGCTGATGTTTACATGCATTTGTCCTATTCAGCTTGGTAAGTACTTGTGAAGGACCAGGTATTTCCTCACACCAACATGAAATGCCCTTTAGGTCAGCAGACATAACTGACTTAAAGTTGGCTGCTCCACGTGGCGCTGAACCCTCTCCTGGCTGCCTTCTCGGATGCCCCGAGGGGGCAGCTGCTGCGGGAGAGGAGCCGTGGCTGGAAGAACGGCTGCAAGGGCGGGACAAGGTCCCGTCTGATTGGCTGAAAAGCCCGGAAATACGAAACCGGCCAATCGGGAGCAAAGGAAACCTATAGAGACAGCGCGGCGCGCTGTTCCCCTCCTTCGTTTTCCGGCGCGCTTCTGCAGAGCCGCTGGTACTGCTGCCACCGCTGCCACCGCTTGCTGCCACCGCTTGCCGAAGCCACGTGCTGCCGCTGCTACCACCCCTTTTGCCACTTGCTTTGGGGGGGTGACCTGCGCCTTGGAGTGCCTGCCAGCCTGAGGTCCCCGGCTGCAGCCCGAGTCCCGGCTCACCTAGTCTCGCTCTCGGCTGGTTCCAGTTCACTCCAACCAGACCCGGCTTGACCCAGCTTGTCCCGTCCCGTGGCCGCAGCTTTTCCTGCCAGCCTGCCTGCATTGCCTGCAGCTACCACCCTCAGGAACCTGCCTGCTGCTGAATAAGTGTGGTGAGACTAATTCCTACCACCCCTGGTCCTAACCATGTTGCAGGGGAAGGCATAATCCTGTCTTACGTGCACTCAAACCGCGACCCTACAAGGGACAAGCGTCGGGCATATCCCTCCTCCTTCTAGCCTCATAAATAATTAAATAAGGTGTGTAAATAAGGTGTAGCTATATATATAAGTATTAAGATATAAGTTCTTGTTATTTGGTGCTTAAAACATATTTCACAGCTCATATGTGCATTAATTACCCTTTTTGAACCTCCTGCCCCAAATTGCTTTGTTTTTCCCCACAATAAACCATGCATTTGTAAATTCTAATTGGGGATTGGCTGCCGTTATTGGAAATATTGGTAAGCACTGAGCAAGTTACTCGAAAAGTCAGTGCCGAAGCTCACTGATCCTCTGAGAGAGGCAAGCGCCATGTGCGGACCTCTCAGCAGATCCTGACAAGCTAAATACACTCCAAAAAGGAGATATAATAGGTCACGGATCACCATAGTACTTATCAGGCCTGCTTCATCATTAGTCCATCATGCCAGACAGTGCACGACAGTCAAGATGAAAATGGACTGGGTTTTTTGGTTTGTTTTTGGGTTTTTTTCAGTCTCCCCTAAGCCTCCTCTTCCTCAAACTAAACATTCCCAGCTCCTTCAAACGTTCTTCATAAGATTTATTCTCTAGGCCCTTCACCAGCTTCGTTGCCCTCCTCTTTACTCACTCCAGCACCTCGATATCTCTCTTGAATTGAGGTGCCCAAAACTGGACACAATACTCCAGGTGTGGCCTCACCAGTGCTGAGTACAGGGGGACAATCACCTCTCTGCTTCTGCTGGTCACACTATTTCTAATACAAGCCAGGATGCCATTGGCTTTCTTGGCCACCTGGGCACACTGCTGGCTCATATTCAGTCGCTTGTCAGTTAGAACCCCCAGGTCCTTTTCTGCCAGACACTTTGCAGCCACACTTCCCCAGCCTGTAGCATTGCCTGGGGTTGTTGTGGCCCAAGTGTAAGACCCAGCACTTGGCCTTGTTGAAGCCCAGACCATTAACATTAGCCCAATGATCCAATCTATCCAAGTCTCTCTGTAGAGCCTCCCCATCCTCATGCAGATCAACACTCCTGCCTAACTTGGTGTCATCTGCAAACTTACTGATAATACACCCTATGTCCTTATCAAGATCGTCAATAAAGATGTTAAACAGAAACAGTCCCAACACTGAGCCCTGAGGAACACCACTTGTGGTTGGCCACCAGCTGGATTTGACTCCATTAACCATCACTCTTTGGGCCTGACTGTCCAGCCAGTGCTTGATCCAACAGATCATGTGCTCATCCAGGCCATGAGCAGCCAGTGTTTTTAAGAGAGTTCTACAGGCAACTGTGTCAAATGCTTTTTGGAGGTCCAGATAGACAATACCCACAGCCTTTCCCTCGCCTTAGAACAAACTGTTTCTTGGAGGGGGAAAAAAAAAAAAAAAAAAAAAGCAGTGGAGTAATGTCTCAGCTGTGACATTACTTATTGCCTTTCCTCTGCACAATTGTACTAGAACATGCCGAGCACAGGCTACAGGACTGAGCTGTTCTGCAACCTGTGGTGCAGCTCTGGTCCCTCAGCTGTCCCTGGCCATCCATCAGTGGCACATCCAGAGACAGGGTTTGAGACCCACAGTTACCCCCATGTTTCCTTCAAAAGCAAGTGGTGGCATAAGTGAAGAGTGATCTGAGCTGCTTTTCAACAAGCCTCCAGCAAACCTTTGTGTGAGGGAAGGGGCAATCTGAACTGTAGAACATACTAGGGAAAGCTGTTGTCCCACTGTGTAGACTCAGGCTCAACAATGATCACAGCAGTACCATGGACATTAATTTTCAAATAAATAATTACATAGAAGCATCCTTAACAGACCTTTTTTCCACCAGTTTGCCTAATTCTCCTTTTTTGTAACTTAGTAATTGGAGAACTCTTCAGGCCCATAGTGACATTATTCTTAGACAGATATAACCCAAAGAAATCAGTCTATGACCCTGTGACTGAGACACTAACCTGGGATATACAGGTCTGCTCTTTGGAAGAACAAAAATCAGATCTGATAATTTGTTTCCAACAAGGTTTTAAATCTGATTATTTGTCTCCTGCTTCCTTAAGCCGATGTGTTTTCCTGCAGCATTTGTTATTTTACACCAAGCAAAGCTGGAGGAGAGGCCTACAGGAATCTGTAAAACACAAACCCTTGGGTTATGCTCAGAGAAAAATGTAGATAATTTACTTCCCACGTGGGAACTGCTTTCCACACCACTCTCCACTGATACTGTATTTGTCAGGAGCACAATCTCAGCCACAAGAATAACTTCTGAAAAAAATAGAACTGAAGACCTAAAAATCACCTTAATTATAGTGAGTTTCAATGAACAGGAACATATGGCTGTCAGCAAGCAGCATGCATGGGAGCTGTCTGTGTGGATTTGATACATCCCTTAGGAAGGGACAAGTGCCTCAGTCAGCTGTTTGCTGAGACCAGGAGAGCATTTTGACCAGCTGTGCTAACATACTTACAGACAGAGTTAGAGATGCTCTGGCACAAAATGGTCTGAGTCCACGTCAGGCAAATTAGATGAGAGAGCATTTAGCTGTCAGGCTCTCATTTCAGCAGCGAGCAGGGGCTGTACTGTCACCAGCGCGGCAGGGCCATGCTGTGGAGCAGCCACGCCACGCTGTGAACTGCTGGGAGGCATCACTGGGGGGCTTCTCCAGGGAACCAAAGCTGAGCTGAAGCAAACCATGACCATTATCGTGCTGTTGCTGCCCCTCCAGAAGTTTCTGCCTCAAATGGCTGCTCCTCAGCTCTGCCAACTGACACCTGTGGGCAGCCCTGGCCACACGAGCCAGAGCTCTTGCCTTCCAGGGTAAACTGCACATGGGTCAGGGCACTGGGGGCCTCGCAGGCCCTGAGCAGCCTCTGCCACCCTGCCCAGGACCCGTGTCAGCCCCCCAGGTCATCAGCCCTGCCCCAGGGACGCTGCAGCAGGGCAGGGCCCCCGCTCCC